GTTTCTGTGTCTATTGTCTCTTTCTAAATTATTATTTTTTGCAACACAGACAAGATCACCTGTTGTCAAGATCTGTGGTGTTCGCGGTCTTGGCCCTGAGGCTTTCCAGCAGGGACCAAGAAGAGCAATATGGCAGAGGTTTCGGTTGCTGAGACGAGAAGTTGAATCTGACGGACCGGCTAGTAAAGCAAATATAGCAATGTGGCCGATAGCTCGCGTTCTTCACCAGCCATTCGACATCTACCATGGAGAAGTCATGGAGATGTAGAGCTCCACCTGAAATCGTGAATAATAAAATTATAATGCATAAATATTTTGCAACATTTCCTAAATGAGAATTTTGTTATTTTCCAATATCTTTTGGGAATACAATATTATTGTGTCAAAATTAGGTTCTATCCATGTTTCTGTCAGTAGCTGTGTACCTTTAGGCATTTTCTGCAGCAGCTTGAAGATGGGACTGTTCCTGATGAGTTCCCTGGCTTTGAAGAAGTGCATAGCAGGAGGAAATTCCTCTCTTTCCATCTCGTCTTGTTTCATTTTTAACAGGGGAGCATTCAGACGCTGTTCGGCGTCGGTCAACACCTGCTGCCCACCTGTCTGCATGGAGGACTCCTGCTTTATTAGAGCCTCTCTCTGCTTGGGGTCCGGGATGGACATGCCGCCGGTCAAGTAGAGTATCGACAAACAGAGCAGAGCCGCGCGGGGTCGCTGTAGCAGGGCTGCCATTTTAGGTAGGGATGGTGGGAGCTGGTTTAAGAGAGAAAACGTCACGAGTTAAGGCAAACTGCACTCAGAAAGCACGGCAGCCTCTTTGCGGAACAGAAAACAGTTGTTGGGTAAAAATAAAACGCCTATAACACCGGCGAAACTGAGAAAACAACCAGGTGCCGCTTCCTCAGCGGTTATTTCCCTTACAAACCTCTATCGTAATCAGAATTACTTTTTAGAAGACAAATTCACAACTTATCACAGCAGACTAAACACAGAAAAAGAAAGAGGGGCTATCGTTAAGTTACCTTAGGCTAACAGCAGCCCGACTTACTCAGTGTTGGTGCACAGCGGTTAGCTTAGCAGGTGAAGACTTTGTAAACAGTCCCGGCGAGAGTCGCTTTATGAACAGAGATCATCGGAAAACCTTGCTCGACTATGTCAGCTAAAAACGTCCGCATTCTGTTTGAAGTTACGCTTTTAAGACGACAGACTCACGAAAATAAACACTCTGCGAGATGTTTTCTCTTTCTCACTCCGTCGCTTTGCTTAGAAGCCTAATGATTGGCTAAAGCTTTTCCCTGGAACAATTTGTTTGGTTACTCTAACAGCGGAAACCAGTCGTCAAGATATATTAGAGAGAGAAAACATAAAGTATTGACCAAACAAGAACGAAGAAATATTTTTGCTGGTGACATAATTACCCTGCAAACAAACAAAAAAGGGGAGAAAAATACAGAAAATTATTTCCGTAAAACAATTCATTTCACTGTTTGTAAACAAAAACAAAAACCTTCTGGTTTTGTTAATAATAAAAACGAGCAGTGGGTGGGGCAAGAGATACACACAGAACTCGCCATCCTTGTTTCCTTTGTATAAAAACAAAACAAACTTTGGTTATTGTTTCCACAGCTTCATCATCAAGTCAAGTTTGAGTACATTTTGATCATATAGTAGTTCTTTAGCGTTACTGGCATGTTGCGTTTTGCATTTCCTTATTTTAAAAGCTAGTTGCACAACAATGTGCGTAATTGGGCTCAATTAAAGCGCCTTAATTACATGCCTCATTTGCATTTTCTTTCTAATGCCAATTTTGGCCTCATTAGGCCTAAACAAAAGAATATATTACTTTTTTATTAGGAGGAGCCCTCTGACGTCACATCTGTGACTCCTGCTGACAGGAGAAGGGTCAGACAAAGCAGCGTTCAATCTGTGCAGGGTGTTCATCACGAGGATAAACACTAATCAAAAGTGATGGTGTAAAGCCTCCAAATACATTAATGCATTGTCATGCATCAGCCGTCACATTGTGGCCTTTTTCATTTCATTATTTTTAGGTTTCAGTTGCTCCAATAGTTATTAAAAAAAAAACAACCCAGTGTTTATTTCTCAAAAAAAAGGCCAAAGTGATGTTTGAGAAACATTTTTTATTCCTAAGAAATGTACAGTAGAGAAAATACTCCATTCCATTTCCAAAATAATCTATGTCAGTCAGATAAGAACTTGTAAACGTCACTTCAAAATGAAAGACACAGGTCTTTTCTTCTCCAATGGCTACTGAGGTAAAAGACGACTGCTTAAAAACATCAAAAACATTGAGAGAAAAAGAGACAGACACCAGAATTATATTAAAACAAAGTCCAAAAATGTACAAAAATTCTTAAAACAGCAAATAAATATGATTCACATTTAATCACGCCTAACTGGGTTACAACTAGTGCAGAGATGACAGCAGAGTAAAGTGAAAGATGAACGCGCGCTTCCAGTCATCTGGTGCCGATTGTATGCACCAGAAGAAAAGAAAAAAAAACATCTGTACACACAAACACACACACCTGTACATCATAAGATAACATCACAACCTTACAGACCTTATGAAAAAATAAAACAAACTGCCCTTCATACATTAGACAGCACGAGTGAACACACTACCTCCTTAGTGGCCCCACTGAGCTCACCAATACTGCCTATTTTAAAATAGCAAATCATCTATGACAGGTCTTCTGTGATACATTTACAAAATTGTCTCATAGCGTCTAGCTTTCCCCGACCCAGCTTCTTTTCTTGAATATTTCATTACAACGTCCTATAACTTAAGACATTCTAATGCTGCCAAACTGTATACAGCCCATTACAGACCTTAGACTGGACTACTGCCCACAACCTGTAGGTGGAATGGCGTTTGATCTGTAGAAGTTAAGACATAGTCCCATCTTAAAATACTAAATATTGTCCATCATTCTCTAATAATATTTAAAAAAAAATGATAAGAATGAAGGTGCAATACCATGGAACAGTGGACGCCTCAGTACCTGCAGACAGCCGAGTAATCACCTCTACTTGAGGTCGTCAGTGAGCACCATAATTAGTCACAGAGATCCGACACACAAGCTTTTTATTTCCCGCCAAAGATGGTAAAGCATTGTAAGGCAATTTCATTCTCAGTTCTACAGTCATGAGATCTAAAAGTGGTGCTAACATCAATTCATGCTGGTCACAGAACGTCACCCCACAGGAGTCTGGCAGAGTACGAGAAGAAGTGGAACGACTTTGTAGATGCCACAGACTGGCTAGATGAGGTAGATTATTCTTTTTTTTCGCCATTGCTAAACTTCCCCAGTGGGGCTCGCAGACAAAGAACCCAAATTCATTGTGATGGCAAATGATTTGACATCAAATTAAGTGGAATGTAGAGTAACAAATTAGATCCTATTAAAATCCAATTAACTCTGACGAAAGCAATATATTTAAAAAAAGAAAAAGAAAGAAAAGGGGGCAGTTAATTATTATTAAGGCCAATGACTCTCACAAGTCAACTTCTTCATGAGGAGGATTGATTTGCCACAGCTGCAGTCTCATTTTCTTTATGCTGTTCCTCCTTCAAATAATTCAGAACAGTACCCGTATAAAGAAACTGTACACCCTGAGGATATGTTTAGTACTGACACGGGGAAGGAACCGTAAAGGAACGAAGAACTAAAACAACAAACTTGTTGGAGGACACTCGAATAGCCAAATCATTTTTTTGTGTATGCATTTGCTCTGTGCACGTATATACACCAGTGAGTATATCGTCCGAAATGAAGGGCGGTGATTAATATAGTATACACTCTTAGATACATTTACACATTAATAAGTATCGACTAAAATACGACTATCCAAGGCCACTTGGTTCCAGGATGTCCAGACTAACAGAAATCCATAGTGCACAACAGAGAATCACACATATTTAGATAACAATGACACCACCCTTGCCGGTCCCTCTCTGCTACTCAAAGACATTCAAACAAACGAAGGCAGCTTTGAATGATGCATATACTGTGTGTGTGCTCCAGAGAAAGAAAAACATTAG